CATCGACATGGCCACGAATTGCTAATCCCTGAACCATTAGATAACGCAACGAAGAAATCATTCTGAGAAGAGCTGCTCTAGCGGATTTCATTTCATTTATCTTGCCCTTAGATATCAATGCATGTACATTGACTCCATCATCGATTGCTTTTTTTCGGGTGCAGCAAAAACGATGAACTTCCGATTTTTCGTGAGCTGCAAATCGCTCTAAAGCCTTGTTCCAAGAGGAAAAGCCAGTTTGTGTGTAAGCCTTAATTGTTTCCTCATCTCGAGAAGATTTTTTTGGCATGGGGGCACCCGATGACAAACCTTCCTGACACACTGAGCAAAACACCTTGTCATTACTCTTGTCGTAAATAATCCAACCGTATTTTTCTTTCCACTGTTCTTGATAAGAACGCCCCCTTTTTCCACTTTCTGCTGTATTCTGTTTCTGAACACTAATGTCATTAGCAGTAGCATCGTCACAATTGCCCAAGGCTGAGGCATCTTTCACCGCGCTACATGTTGACGTAGAACTCGTGGGAGAACTATCAATTATTTTCGATGCTGCTGCACGGCCTGCACGGATCACAAATTTGTCCATTTTGTCGCGATAAATATGTGGTCCGTTGTGAGAGAAAAAGAATAGTGCCGCCAGGCGCCAGTCCTATCAATCAAAGCACGAAACAACCAATCACACAGTCATTTTGTCACTAGGAAAAAAATATATTTGGCTCCAAATCTTCACAGTTCACTTCACGAATTGCACGAATAAACTAACGCCTGCGTCGTCCTGCGAGTCCTGCGACCTGCGCCCGGCAATATCCCCCCCTACCTGTTGCGCAGCGCAGATCATGCACCTGAAACACTCCGTGTCGAAAAATTATTCGGTTAAACGGAGAAAAAGCACTGCATCCTGGCTCATGGGTGCTCCGCACCCATGCGAAAATTCTCGCGGGTGCTTCAGCCCCGGAGCACCCACGGAGTCGGCGCCCCTGCTCGTTTGGACTCACCGGAGATGCCGTTAACAGGGTGTGTGGATGTCTGTGACCGAGGTCATTTATAAAGAAATACAACCTTCAATGCACGCTTGATTCGGAAAATTGTTTTGTGTTAAAACTTAACTAGACCCACGACATTAAACAGAGAAAACAAAATTTTGATGACATTAATTAACCAAATAGGCACCTGAATCCATTCCAAATGTCTTACATACAATGACCTGAATGCCATTGTTTACACAACAGAGTTTATTACGACTGTTATGTAACGGAGCCTGACATTCACGCCAAGGGCTCACAGTACGAAGAGTACATATAATATACCAGTTTTGTTAATGGTTAAGAGCTCAGTCACCTGCATTAGGACATGACCTGTCTCACCATGACAGCAATATAGGGGTATATTCAGGGTTTATTTTCATGGTTTGAGTTCAGGCTAGGATATGACCTGTCTCATTGAATTAAATATACAATGATATTTATTCAGAAGTAGACATAGGGACTTATGTATATTGTTTTTCCCTATCTCTACTTTCAAAACATAATTTTATACATCCAAAAAAACAAGTAAACATCTCACTGTCATATTGATTAGTTTGAATATTGTTGCTTTGACTTAACAGAAAATAAATCTCTTACGCTCCTTCAGGGGCGGTTACTACTAAAGTGCTCTCATGCTCGCGCGCCACCTGAATAATATAGGAAATATATTCCTGCAAATTACAATGAGTTAACTTCAGCGTACTAATACTAATAAATTAAAGATAATAATTCACAGATATTTTTTTCCATTATATTGCGTTATAGCGCATAGCAAGCAAATCGCACTTAAAATATGCATCAGGTATAGCGCAATGTACTCTAGCAGTGGGAGCTGGGAGCACGGGATTCTAATTACAAACTCTGGCGCATTCAGGCTAGCTGTCAAATGCATTTTTAAGCAGGCGACGCGACGGTGCGCACGTTCGTAATTATAAATTGTTCATTTCTGATTATTAACGCTATAATTCGAACGTAAGTGTAACTGTGAACTTTTAAAATGAATTCGGTACAATTTATTTTAAAAACCCCCTTTTTTACTTTACCATTGGAGCAAAAATGGAAATTAAACATCTTGGAAGACCTACCTCAGATATTACTATAAAAGTCGCCGTAAAAAGTAAAAAATAGTTATTTGTTTCATTAGTACAAAAAATGTCAGTTTTCGGGACGAGGAAGATAGTTGCTGGACGACGCGTTAGCGGAGTCCAGCAACCTTCCGAGTCCCGAAAACGCATTTTTTGTACGAATAAAACATAAAATTTTTTCTCCAACCCCCTTTACTTCAAATTATATTCGAATTTAGATTCAGTCACAGTTTCACTACTATAGTATAAGAACTTCTGCTTTCTTGTCACGTGTCATGCCACTCTAGTTTTTAGGTTAACTTATAACCTATTCGTTCTTACTTCTCACCTCTCGCGACTTTGTAGGGAGCAAATCTTAAGGTAGCATGTTCTGCCGTTTCTATAATTTCTGGCAGAGTGCAATCCATGTCGCTATCAGTTTCAGTCATTTTATTGTATACACAATTAATATTGTTATATTTTGTATTGAAATAAAAAACTTACCATTCAGTTTTTTAATTAAAATTAATTGCAATTAACTTTTTCAAATTTTGAATTCAAAATGACAGATAATAGTGCAATGGGTCTGAAGTAGATGGCGTACGCGCGACGGCGGGTTGTATACGTATTAAAATTACGTTCACGGGATATGTAAATTATGTTACACATGGTTTAAATAAAAATAGCGAGCGTAAATCATTTTCAATACATGTACATACGTATAGGTAACATCATTATTTGCATTGAATATGCAAAAATATTTGATTTGTATGTATAGAAATATCTTACAACCTGCAATGTAAAACGATGTCAATGTGACATATCTCCGTGATTGTAATTTTTTAATTGGCCAACTTTCAAGGTCAATTTCTTTTTGGTACTAGGACCAAAAGTATCCACTTTTTGTACAGTTGCCATGGTGAAAGCGATTAATCCGCAAAACGTCAATTTTAGGTACCGAACACTGTCACAAAATAGCGTCTTATTCAGGTGGTTGGAGAAAAAACAATTTGTGCGTACTTTTAACAAAGAATTGTACAAAAAACATATCTGGTTATGCGGATGTGATACTGTAAATGCTGCGTTTTGTTTTCCGTGTTTGTTATATAAATGTTAATTGTTTTATTAATAAAAGGTTTAAACAAAAATTCAATACCTAAAATCTAGAGCACTACCTATTTTTTCAGCAAACACCGTCACTGCGCTCCTGCAGGTGTTACCGGCGACATTTAAGCATTCCGTATATGTATTTCGCACCTAGGGTGATGCAATTGGTCAATTTCAAATCTGCAATCAGCATCAAGAGTGCGAGACTCAGTCACGGAATGCTCAGGAATATGATGTTTTGATTTTCTCAAATCGTCAATTATATGAGTAAAAATATCGCTTCATAGGAAGCCTAAATACAAAAAAAAATTCATACGTACAAAGAAACCTTATTTGATAATTATTATATATTTCTTTGTTTATACACATTTAGTTACCTCACACCTCAGTAATCAAAATAATAATAAGTATGTAAGTTTAGTATTGTGTGCCATGTTTCGCACTCTTGACGCTGATTGGCCGCCGACTTTAAATTGACCAATCGCATCACCCTAGGTGTGAAATACTTATACGGAATGCTTAAATGCTTACCGGCACTATACCAATTGACAATATCAACTTTTTCTTTTTCAAATTAATTAATGTGACAGCAAGATCTGTATTTGTTTTAAGAAGTTATTATGGTTGCATAAAATTAGGCGCCCTTTAGAAGAAATTTTTTCATTTGAAAGTAGACATAGGAAAATAATACACATAAATCCTTATGTTTACTTCTTAATAAATAGCACTGTAGTAACGGGTTTTGAGACCCATTCCATAATAGTTTTCATATAACAAAATTCAAATATTCAGGAGTCATGAAAAGAATCACATTTGGCATTTATGCAAAATAAAATAGCAGCAAAATACCACTGCAAACAAATCCAACAAATATATTTTGCCCCCACATAAAGCAAACAAAACCCCCTGACGCGTCTTACAAGTCGATCACATAATTGAATTTTGAAATCACTTTCCTGCGAATTGTTAAAATATAAAACCCCTGTGGGAAGTTCTAACCCCATACACGGAATCTAAAGTTTAACCTAAATTTTCTAAACACCCTGTATATTAATCTCAAATGAAAGCCATCCATACCTGTTCAGTTTAACTACTTGCATATCAACTATAATATGTCCTAAATTTAATTAAACCCTTATTAATCTTCAACCATCCCCTAACAAATGAAAAAGCAAACCCTGATGCCAACAGGATAAAAATTAATTAAGCTAAAAGATTTTTCCTAACTCACAATATTACTATAAACGTAATTGAATGATGAATTTTTTGTTGCCAACCAATCTGTTATTAGCTATTAATGTAACAAATCCAAACTTCAAATGTTTGATTTATTTTTGTGCGCAGTGCTGGATATTTCTATTTTACAATAATTTGGTGCCCTTATTATATTTTTCCTGAATCCTGTGTGTGCTTATTTTCAAGCACAGCGCCATGTACTATATACCTTCTTATAATGAATGCAGTACAGATTCGTGAATCAAACACATACCACCGAAAACTAATTATGTCCTGCAGTCACAGAATTGCTCAAATTTACGGCGAAACATTTCCAGTGGTGTAGCTTACATTTTTCTCCTTAAATGAAATGCATAAAAGCGGAATGATTCCAATTTAAAATTGCCAGATACTGTAACATCTCTCGCTTGTAAATGTGATTATATTTCGAATGGGTGGGTTTATTATTGGACCAAATCTGCATGCACATATTAGGGTTTTAATGTGCATGCGACTTTGATGTAATAAAAAAGCTCGTTCATGTCTTTACAATTCAAAATTATACCAACAAACCTTTTGTTTATTTCAGCTGTTGCCCAGATTGATTGGTACAGTGAAGACCAAGCTTTCGCCGTCGCCTTCATAGATGGTACTATCAAGTTGGGTCGTTTAAGTGAAAATAGTGACATAATAACAACTAATGCGCATGCTGAATCAATAACTGCGCTTAAGTGGAATTCGAATGGATCTCTACTTGCTAGCAGTTCATTTGACATGACTTGCAAAATCTGGAAAGAGCAACAGGGGAAATTAGTAACCTTGCACACTTTAGTACAAGTACACGAACCTGTTTCTTTGGCGTGGTCTCCGTTAATAGGAAAAGGGAGAATGCCTTTCCTACTGATTGTCGGTACATCTTACGGAACAGTATGTGGTTGGAGCTTACCTGATGTTGAAAATGTACAGCAAAATTTGCCACAATTGGTTATGAATTCTCAAGGTCATTCCTTTAATCCCATTACAACTTTGTTAGTTCATCCAACTGGATTGTTTGTTGCAAGTGGCTCACTTAAAGGTCACAATGGTGTTATAAATATATGGTCATTGCATGATGGCAGCTTAGTTCTTACAAATTCAGGTAGCGGAGGTATTGATAAGAATGCTTTAGTTTGGCTGAACAATGATATCCTTGCCGTTACATATTCACGCTCCAAATCCATCAGTTTGATTAATTACAGCTTCGACGAACTTATGAAAAGTCATGCACTTGCAACGGCAAGAACAACTTTATTAAAAAAAGGAATCAACGGATTAGAAACGGCACCTTGTTTCAAAATGTTAATATCATATTTGCCTGATATGTTGCATGAACAGTACAATTATGAAAAACTATCTGTCCAAACTGGAACTAATTTAATGAATAGTGTTTATTTAAAAAGTCTGGCATCGCTCTCGCTTCTACTCCAATTGGATATGGTTTTATGTTGCAATTTAAAACCTTTTAATTCTAAATCGAAATTAGATATAGTCCCGAAATACCAATGGTTACACACATTTAGCTTGACTACACAAATGGCAGATTCCTTGATAAAACGTTCTGCATTTGGTACTCGTCAAGATCAAAGCTACAATGACGATCAAGATCCCAAAGAAGAACTCGCCCAAAATACTCTTTGGAATTTTAAACAGGATGAACAAATTATTCAGTGGATTACGCAAAACCCGAGTGATTGGCAAATTGGCGGTAAATGTACAGCGTACGTCTGGGGTTCGGATAGACATGGACAGCTAGCCGAAATAGGCTGTAGTATTACCACTCCCACAGTAGTTGAGTCATTTTCAATGGCCAGAAAAATTGTATGTGGCCAAAACTGCACATTTGTCATACAATCTAGTGGTATTGTGTTGGCATGTGGTGAAGGAAGTTACGGTCGCTTAGGTCAGGGCAATTCGGACGATTTACACTCTCTAAGCATTATATCCAGTTTACAAGGTTTTGTTATAACCGATTTGGATACGTCTGTCGGATCAGACGGGCACAGTTTGGCGTTGGCGGAAAGTGGGGAGGTGTTTTCTTGGGGTGACGGAGATTTTGGTAAACTAGGGCATGGTAACAGTGATAGACAGAGGCGGCCTAGACAGATAGATGCGTTGCAAAATGAAGAAGTAGTGCAAGTGTCGTGCGGATTTAAACACAGTGCAGTTGTTACAAGTGACGGAAAACTGTTTACTTTTGGAAATGGTGATTATGGAAGACTGGGTTTGGGTTCAACGTCCAATAAGCGATTACCTGAACGTGTTGTTGCTTTAGAGGGATGCAAGGTGGGTCAAGTGTCTTGTGGATTAAATCATACAGCTTGCGTGTCCGTTTGTGGTCGTATGGTATGGACGTTTGGCGAAGGCGACTATGGAAAGTTGGGCTTAGGGCATACAATGACAAAGTCCATCCCACAACGTGTAGAAGCGCTGGCGGATATTATAATTAAAAAAGTGGGGTGTGGTGCTAACTTAACTATATTCTTAACACAAGATGGCCGTGTGTTCGTATCGGGAATTGATCGTGTTCCATGGCAGATCAATACAAACGAAAGATCTGATTATATACCTCAACCATTAGTAGGACTGTTCGATTATTTAATTGAAGACTTTGCAATTGGGACGGATCATGCCTTGTTTCTTTCTAAGTGCGGAAAAGTGTTTGGGTGGGGTTTAAATTCTGAAGGACAATTAGGACTAACTCATTCATCATTGATTAGGGAACCCGAAATAATAACTGAGCTGTCAAATAAGGGAATTAATCAAATATCTACTGGTAGAACTCATAGTGCAGCTTGGACTGCTTTGCCACTACCTCAACGAGTGCCGGGTGTTACAAGGTCTTTATCTTTTGGGTTACCTACAGAAATTCCATCCCAGTATACGCACTTACAAGGAGTTTCTATAAAAGCAATTCAAGCCAGACTAAAATTCCTTCACAGTTTTTCGGATAAATTGTACTCATGTTGGACTTTAATTCCGCTTGGTGCCCAACAGCACAATCTTAATGTTCCTCCATTAGAAAGTCTCACGTCTCCTAAATTAAGACCGTTGCTTGCTTTACGAGTGTACACTTTACCTTTGGTGAGATGTATAGGTAAAACTATGGTTCAAGGAAGAAATTATGGGCCACAAGTGACTGTGAAAAGAATCGCTAATAAAGGTTTGTGTTTAGCATAATATTGTAGCTGTTTATAATTTCGTTTTCTCATAAGGGCGAAAGTGTAAACCCATTTTTGTACAAATTGCAAAACAGGTGGTGGAAACGATGCGGCCACACGAACTTCGTTTACCATCAAGGGCGTGGAAGGTTAAATTGATTGGCGAAGGTGCTGATGATGCCGGTGGTGTTTTTGATGACACAATAACAGAAATGTGCCAAGAAATAATAGCTTCCACAGTGCCTCTTTTAGTTCCCACACCAAATGCTTTGAACGATGAAGGATTTAATAAAGATAAATATTTATTTAACCCGCAAATGAATTCACCTCAGCATATAATGTGGTTCAAATTTCTAGGTTAGTGGTGTGATATTTTTGTTTTTTATTGTAATCGGTCTTGTAGGTATTCTGTTTGGTGTAGCCATACGCACCAAAAAACCACTTTCGTTGTCACTAGCACCAATCATTTGGAAGCTGTTGGTGGGTGAACCAGTGGGCACATCAGATTTGGAAGATGTTGATAGTATGTATATGCAAACTTTAAGAAGCATTCGTGATATACATCTCTCTGGAGTAACCGAGAGTAACTTCCATGATATCATTCCTCTTGAGCGATTTGTTGGGAACAGTTGCAGTGGAAAGGTAAGATTGTTAATTTTGTACATATACACACATTAATTTGTGAACAGGTTGTTCCCATTGTGGCGGGAGGGCGGAGTATACCCTTGACGTTTGATAATAGGACACAGTACTATGAGCAGGCAGTTAAATTCAGGTTACAAGAGTTTGATGCGCAAATTGCTGCTGTACGAGAAGGAATGTCCGGTATTATTCCTGTACCGCTATTGTCTTTAGTGACTGCAGAGTATCTAGAACAGTTAGTGTGTGGTATACCTTACATTTCAGTACCACTACTCAAAACAGTTGTTAGGTTAGTCATTTACACATTGAATTGCATCTTGCAATGTAGTGTATTGTAGATATCGTGAATTGGATGAAAACCATCAATTGGTGCAATGGTTGTGGAATATCTTGGAAAGTTTTACTAATGCAGAACGCGTTCTATTTATGCGATTTGTTTCTGGTCGATCGCGTCTCCCTGCAAATTTGGCTGATCTTTCTCAACGTTTTCAGGTAGGTAATGACATTTCATGATTTTATTTGCGTGCATGTATTGGGCCAAAGCAACAGGATAAAAATCTAGCCAGCCGGCTTACACACGGCTACAGGCCGCGCTATAGCATGGCAAGAGCTTTACAACCCTGATGTACGACATTGCCCGGTTTACTTGAATGTTTCCAGAATTTCCAAATTTTAGCAGCGCCATGGATCGATCTGAACCTTACTGTGTTGATATCAAACACGCAAATGCCTGCGCCTTTATTCGCCATGCTATAGCGTGCGGCCTGTACTATATGTTTAAAAAACAGTTTCATCTCGCTTGCATAATAAAAATCATATTTCAGGTTATGAGGGTTGATAGAGCTGTTAATGGATTACCTACTGCACAAACTTGTTTCTTCCAACTCCGCTTGCCGCCGTACACTACTCAAGATATAATGGCCGATAAACTAAGATATTCAATTAATAACTGCCGTTCTATCGATATGGATAACTACATGCTTGCAAGAAATACAGAACAGGGACCAGGTTCTGATGATGATTACTAAGTTACCTACCTAACGACATTATTTATTTTTAAAAATTTTGCATTATTTGGTGACAAATAATTATTTGGTTCATTTTGGAACAAGAAATACAAATTATTGTTGTGTTCTTTCATTTTATTAATACTTTCCACAATATATTTTTGAATTACCGACTGAATGAGGACATCATTGAATATCAATATTACTTAAAAAAATATGGACAATTGAGAAAAACTTATTGTGGCTGATTTTAACGTGAAGTTCTGAGTATGGAGGTATTCAGTACTATGAAGCATTTTGCACAAAATTTCATGGTTCATTCGGATGTCAAACTGATTAATCATCAATCTTGTTATAACCAATTCCTTAAATATACCAATGTGCTATGGTATGCGGTCAATTACACCATCCACAAAAGAGTGGTCCAGCTAGCTCAAACAAATCAAAATTGAAACATGAAATTTTTACCATTTTTTCTCGATACACTTCCAGCATCTGCTACAATGAAAACTCCGAAGAAATTTGGGAGACTCATCAGTGGCCTCCATCAACTTCCGAAAATTCCAATAAATTTTATAAACACCTGAAATAAATCTTGCATACGAAAAGAAAAATCTGGCATGAAGACTGAATTGCAATCCGGGTCAATATATTCGAATAAACACACGATTGACAATGACAAACATTTATTCCAAAACACGTTAAATGAAAATTAAAACAAAATTCTTGAATTAATAGAAGCGGACAAAAATTGTTTTTACATAGTACCACGCCGTACGCAGACAGTTGATGGTGAACAATTTTTGATTATACAAGTAGTTGGTAATCATTCCACTCCTAGATCTTTTAATATAATTAATAATAAGCACAATGTTAGAAGAAACTTTAGCCAACTAATACAAAATTTGAAATTAATAACAAATCAAACTGCTCAAATGATCATGATCAAACTCAAAATATGGATTGTTCTTCTGATAACACCGCTGATAATAACTTAGAAACTATTAACAATCAAACCACCATTGAAATTGATTCTACAAATGACCTAATTCCTCATTCTAATATTAAACAAACTGTTACACACAGTGGTCAGATTGTTAAATTACTGAATAAGTTTAAAGATTATTTTATGTAATCTCATAATAATGTTTTGTTTTAAGTTTGTTTTGATTTTTTGTTTTAGAAAAAAAAAGGGAAGATGTTGTATTTATGTCAGAGTAGGCATCTGTCATCGCCAGTAAAAACTCACTTACCTGGCTAATAATGTAAAATACTATATCTTTGTTTATAACCCAAAAATCTGGTCATAAGGTTCGCGGTAAAACAGACACACTTAAAGCTAGGCAGTACATACAGAACGGAGTATGTAAAGTTGCCTATTGTCAATCGCCAAATTTGACCATGTGTAATATCATTCAATGGTAATATTAATTTGTGATTGATGGTATAAACTTAGATCAATTATAATGCACATTTTCTATCTGTATAAACCAAGCGGCGCGGCGGAAGCTATCTTTTCGCGCTTTTGAGGAAAACTTTTAAGTTGTTTTTCCAAAATAACTTATCTATAAATGAAGTTGGAACAATTTCCAAAATTGCTATAAGTTCATAAAGTTAATATCTGGGCAATGACGCAAGGAAAATTTATTTCCTTTTTTCTTTTCCAAAATATGGCACCCTAGCAGCCCTCAACGTTACCCTTAAAGAAAAGATTATTTTAAAATATTTTAGTAAACCCCGGCGTTATTGTCTAGCTAAATCATTCACCTTTCACAGGAATATTCGACCCCTTCTTCATCACTCAGAATTCAGATATCATGGAACGAAATCAAGCGTTTTCGGAAGAGATGTACTGTCCAGCCTTAAATCTATATAAACGCTGTCAACTGGGGGGGGTTAGTTACGTGTTGACACACAAACTTGATAAACGAACTGACTTGTTGAATATGATGACAAGAATAATCAGTGGCTGTGCACACGGTTTTTAAATGAGAAGGAACCTCAACAGAAGGCCTCACGTTGCACTAGAACTGCTTCCTTTACTTCCACTTGACTAATTTTTTTCGAATGTGTACACAGGTTAAACTTCTCACAATGTAACAACTTTGGTTAACTTTCTTCTGTCTTCAATTCTCTTCTCGGAGTCAACACTCCTAGGATTGGTTGAACGCAATCCTCCACCCTTTCCTATCCTGCACTAATCATTTCTGCATAACTGTCCTTGCCTACGTCCTTAACTATATTAATTGATCTATGTACCTAAGCCTGTGGTGTCCTACACCTCTCGTGCCCTCTGACCAACCTTCAACACTAGCTGTACTAATTCTCCGTGAATGAGCATGTGCCCTATCATTCTATCTCATCTTCTTAAGATTATCCACATTTGCCTATCTTCCTGCACTGCTCTAAGACTGCTTCGTTTGTTGCCCTATCGGCTAGGGACTATCCTTGAATATATACCGGGTGGTGCCTAGCGCGACGCAGCATAGGGATTTCAATGGTAATTTCTTTATAGTCATTTACTAGCTCCCCTAATTATTTTAGAGCAAAAGTCTAAATAAGTTTTTTTTAGAGAAAAAAATACTGAATCTGTTCATGCTATTACTCAGGGGCGGACTGGGTACTTACGGGCCAGGTGGAATTGCATAGGTTACGGGCCATTAAAGTATGAGTGTAGTAATGAAGGTGGCGGGGGGATTAGCTCTGAGGTGCACCACAAAAACATTTTAAAGTACTCCTTTCTCGAAAATCAATTACCATACAGTTTTTTTAGCGCATTTCCACAAAAATAAAAAAAGGCGCTATTGTGGCCACTTTGTCCGTCCGTCCGCTCGTTTTGCGACGCTACTAGTTCTTTATCTTAAGAGCTATTGTTCTACTTTTTTCGCTATTTGGTTCGTTATGGTGTCGAGGCTTGTACCAAGGAAGGAATTTTTTCTGTACCGCTTACAAAAAAAGTTATTGTAAAAAAAACAAAAAACCGTTTTTTTACATGTTCCATAATTTTACACTTTTGCCGTTTATTAACGATCCTAGAGATCGTTTATAATTTTGCATTGCTATCTGTCGCCTGCCGGTTGATCTCTCCGTCTGTTCCTTTGTCTGTCTGTGCGTCTATCTGTCCGTGTGAACGATAACTTTGTTTAGAAATGTTCGATCTCTTTTACATCTCCGTTAGTTATGAACTGAATTGCATGAAATTCAATATGGGCATAGCTTTAGCCATATAATACGCAATGCCAAAAGTTGAATCGAATCGATTCAAAACTCACAGTGCCCTTTTCGCATCTCGACCATTTATAAACCGAATTGCAAACTTTTTTACTTATAAAAGTATTTGAATGAAATTTGATACATAGGCACTTGGAATAAAGGAAAATCAAACGCCAATTTCAAAATTTGGTTTTGCGCATGCGCAGTGCCAACTTTTTTATTTATGGAAGCATTTAAGTGAAATTTGATACTTAGGCGCTTGGAACAAAGGAAAATCTAACATTAGTTTCAAAATTTAGGTTTGCGCATGCGCAGTTCCAACTTTCTTATTTAGAACAAGCATTGGAATGAAATTCTTCTCATAAACTGAAATTGAAGTAGCACGTCAAAAATGGATTGCCCATTTGCAACGCTATCTTTCATATTTGTGGCCGGATTTTTACGATTTTAACAGAAGTTGCATCTTACAAATGGGAAATGAATGCAAGTGGAAATGCGCTTTATGTAAATCGTTTACGATTACTTTTTAACTTGTTTAAATTGCAGCTGATAATTAAAAGTAACAAAATATACTGTAACGTTATTTTATATAAATTCGGGTTCGATTTATATCAATATTTATTAAACAAAATTAAAACACTATAAAATCCGTACAATTTATATCGATTATTTATATCACACACTTCGAAATTTATATCAGCTTTTCGCGCTCGATGTTTCCGTACTCGTTCGATAGTAGACTAACTCGATGTTCGGTCCGCAACCATTTATACACGCAAGCAATGTAAGTCCAGTACATTCTCGAATGTTCCTACAACTTCCACTATCGCGCGCGTAGAAAATTCCAGAGAATTCTGGAGCATTTCCGTTACACTGCCCCCTTCTTAATTCTGGACGTCTCGTTCAGAAACTGCGTTAGTATTACTTTTTAATGCCTCGTGTCGGAATCTGCAGTCAGAGCCTGTCCAACAAACACCTTTCTTGAAAAAGTAACAGTCCACAGTTTTGCGGAGGGTCGTCCCCTGTGGGTTGAAGCAGCATACTGTAATTCGAACGCTAGTGTTTCTAAAAATCACTTCGATCATGGTTCGCACTATTTTCCAGTCCAACCCATCTAAACCACATCCAATCTTCGGGATCGCCAAGCTATTTATGTCATAGTATGCCATGAGTTTCTTTAAGCTTTTTAAAGCAGGCCAGAGGTTTTCATAGGTGGGTTTGCCTTCTGACGTTTTCTTTGAAACCAAGTAGAACAAAGAGCGTTGACTATCTTCCAAGCGCAGTACTTTACCCACTCGTGGTCTTTGCTTTAACAACTCGTCCATTCTTCCAAATCTTTTCCGGAATACGGAAGCTATACCTCTACCCATGCGAAGGTCTTCGGCGACACAATGGGCGATGGAAACGTTAATCGGAAGCTCAAAAATATTTTGACAAATTTCCTGAGTAACGCCAAATCGAGCTTTCTTCCGCTGGGCGTAATTTGACATAAAATCGTTAAAGTTTGGCTCGATCCCAAAGCTGCGTTCCTCTTCTCGAATACCTCTAACTTCTTCGTTGTTGTTGGATCCGGCATATCGTGCGAGTCGATTAATGTGGACAACTTTCGGTTTTCGGTGGTTCATTCTGATACGATATATCACGTCATTATTTTCTTGATCACCTCATACGGACCTTCCCATTGTCTTTGTAGCTTGGGAGAAAGACCCCTTCGTCTCTGTGGATTGTGCAGCCATACCAGATCTCCAGCTTCAAAAGTTTCATTGACCGAGCGGAGGTTGTATTGATTTTTCATGCGATCGCTGGCAATCTGAATATGACTTCTAGCCAAGTCGTGAATGTCGTTCATCTTCGCCTTTAGTTGGTCAACATAATTTTCACCTGCGACATATTCTTCATGGGGTTTACGCCCAAA